GCAAACACTTGGAGTCTTAAAGCAGAATAGTGTTAATTTATCTGGAATTTTAGTAAATTTAGACATTGATTACAATATGTAAGTATGTGAAATACCATTATTGCTAGCCAAAGAATGTGAAAGTGTACAGAGTATGTGTATAAATTTCAGTTAAATGTACATTAAATACATATGCTGTTAAAGTTTTTTTTTTTAATCTTGTGACTGCCATATTTAAATCTTAGAGAGACTTGTTTATCGGGTTATGCAAGTAGTTGTACAAGTCGTCACTGAAATAGGATTTCAAAAGTATATCAAACAAGTGTCTGATAACAAAATTCAAAAGCAAAACTGTCAATGTCAAATTTTTTTCTAAACGTCTTTTTGTGTGTGTGGCAGAAAAGAATTTTGAACGTTCAGGAATGTAGCAAGAATCTCGGTTAAAAGCTTAGCTTTTTTTGCATGAAATTTTTGTATCAAATGCGTCTGTAATTCTATGCCTTATTGTTTTCTTCACATATCCAGGTCACTGTAAGAGCTCCGTTTTCCAGCACAGCGAACTTTAGTTCCAGATTAGCATCTGCTGAAGAACACTCAAAAAACCGGACCAAAAATGAAGACATTAAATATTTTCCTAAAGTGTGTTATTGTTTAGAATTTTTTAGTAACTTCAAAATTATGATGATAAAAATTATTTGACGTTCATAAAGCGTATTACAACTGCTTCCACTGTTGATTAGTGGGCACACTCTTCTTGTATTACTTTCATATATAATATAATATACTGAACCTGATTTTATTCCGATGACTTGTAATTTAATTTACATGTTTAATTCCTTAGTTCATTTGAAATTCAATTTAGTTTCATGGCATTCACTATGGTATTACCAATGTTATTTATGAAATGTTTACCCGTGATAAAAGAAAATAAAATATTTCAAATATAGTGGTTAAATGAGTCATTTGTTTTCATACTTGGCACTTTTTCCTGTTCAGAATAATTTGTGTGAGGAACTGTTAACAGGCATGTAAGATGCAATGGCAAAAAGACAGACTTTATTGTCCCAAATCGTTTCACAGCACAGTCTGCTTGTTTCGTTCTGATGTCCCATGTCTGTTCAAGTCGGGCTTTTGAACATGGCCGCTGGGTAAGCATGATGGCATGCCTTTCGCACCCTTCCCTCACAGCTCCCTCCATGCAGAACTACGCATGCGCAGCTGTGGCGGCAGCACAGGGGCAGGTCCTGTTTTGGGAGAGTAAAGGAGCAAGAGACGCCATGATTGCTCAGCTCTGTGAGTTGGTCTGGATATGGGTGTCAGCCAAATCACTGAGGGGGAACATGACAATACTCACTGCTTTCTCTGATATTGTTGCATTGTTTAACAAGTCTGCTCTCTGTGCGCAGTGGGAAAAATGTTACATATCACAAGGATATTTTCAGGAATCTACATTATCCCTTTTTCTTTTGGGAAATGTAATGCCTGGGTGTTTCAGATGATCATTGATGTAAATGAGAAAAGTAATATTCACTTTTCTGCCATTTATGAAGTAATTCCGTTAGGGTTTTGCCTAAATTGAATGTATAATCCAAAGAAAAGTTATTGGAAAACTTTATTTATTTATAGAACTAAATATGATTTATAGAACAAACATATCCTTTATTTGTATTATTTTTTTTAATGTGTAGACTAGTAACCTTGGTATTAAATGTCTGCACTTGCAAGGTTTTTGGTCCCAAAAGTGCTAGATCAGCCAATGAAATACCTGAAGAACACCACCATAAGTTCAAAGTTATGTAATTGTTGAAGGCTGCGTATACCTTAAGATGAACTTTGCTGTTCTTGCAAGATTTTCAGTTCTCGGGTCACCTTTTTTTTCATACTAACCTGAGATTTTCTGTGCATGTAACCAACCCTACTCGGGATACTGCTTGCTGTTTAGAAAGTTGATTGTGACTTTACAAAGTAGCTTATTTCTATTGTGTTTACCCAGCTCTGTGTTTGTGCTTTGAGCTTAAGTATGACAGATCAAGTGTTGTCAAGGTGCAGTGGGCTGTGACTCAAAACAAAGGGAACTGGACAGCTAAACATCAATTTCCCATGCATACGAAATGCTTTTATTCTAGCTAGAGCTGTTTGTCTGCCGTAGAGTGGAGATATCCTCAATGAAGGCAATGCTTTTTTTCCTTGATCACGTCAGCTGGATGATTAACCATTTTGTACAATTACCCAAGTCATTCAGAATGGACCTGAAGTTATACACATTGGAAAAAATGTAAGTGAAATTTGATCTCACCCTTAAATTCGCTATAAAGTTCAACCGCTGAGCTGTGGCGTTAACTTGTATTCTAACAAGATTAAAATATATTTGTCCTGGAGATTAGCATACTTAAATCCTTTTTTGCTTTTTCTGAACTGGCAGTGTGCTTTGATCTGTGTTGCGTGGCAAGAGCCTGGCTTTGGCTTGGCCATCCGAGTGCCAAGTGTGAAATTGGCCTGATGTCATCCCCATTCTTCACCCTCTGCATCTTTCACTGCCTTAATTATATTTCCGCCACAAAGCCCCAGCTCTTCATTGCATATTCAAGTTTGACTAGGAAGCATTCAAAAACTAGATAAATGACTCAGTTGGAAAGGGGACAAGATAGGCCTTTCTCTGATACGCAGACATGGGAGATCAACACCGTTCTGATATGTATTTTCTTTTCTAGAGTGACTGGCCTCAGGAACCCCAGCCATTCAGACTTTGGAAAGACCTGTTTAGGGAGAGGAGAGTATCAGTGTGTGTTAGCAGTTCATCAGTGATAAATAAAAATGGTAGAATTCAAATCCAGATCAGAACCTCTGAGGTAACCTGAGTTATGGGGAACTGGGATGGATATCATTTTCATTTTTAAGCTAGGCTTTTAGCGCTTCATATTTTGTCTGTCCAGCAACTAGTCAGAAGTTGGCGGTATGACTTGTTGGACAAAATAGTTGAAGCAAGAGTGAGAGTTCTTGGGAATTTCTGGACGTGAGTTCTAGGAATCTCGTCCGACCGTTTCATCTCAACTTCGATTGCAGAAATGTTCTGTTGGTGTATGAAGTGAAACCAATTAATGAGATGCCTTTAAGATCCGTGCTGAATTCCGAGGTGATGAAATGTGGGCGAAGTGAAACGAGCCACCTGCAGCTGTGACAGGAGGCTTTGACCTTCAACGGGGTCTCCCGGCCACAGACTTTATTCAGGAGCCTCGCTTCGCGTCTGAGGGGCAACTGCCTTTTTCTTCCCAGTGAAGCTCATCAAGTCAGTGACCGTTGGGCGTTACTTCCACATACAAGCTTGGCAAGAATAGAAATGCAGATGAGATTCTCTGGCATTGAGGAACAGGTCAATGCTGGGAATGGTTCTCAGAGAGATAGCTCGCCTTTTGTGTTGGACCTTTTCAGTAATACGACTTTTCTTGAAATGTTTTCATGGCGTCAGGTAACACTGAAGTATAAAGTTTCTGGTAAGAGTTACGAGTGCAGCAATGCCAACTAAGCACATTTACAAAGTTTAGCTCAATATCGATAGTATCTCGTTTATTTCATTTTAGAGTATTTGCGCAAAATTATGCATAGGTTTACTTTTTAGACGGATTAGGTAAATGTATCATTTAAGAGGTGATGAGTCGTATTTCTGGTTATAACTTGTGTGTAAATTAGACGTAGTTGAAACAAAGTTTCACCGGGTTTTTTTTAAGTGAAATTACGTCTATTAGTAGCATTTTGACTCCCCCAAGTGTTGAGAGTTGGACTAAATTTGGCTTGCAACATAGTTGTTTTTTTTGTTTAGGCCTATTAATTTTTTTGTTGCAACCAAAGCACGTTAGACGCCAAATAAACACTGGGGCGATACCAGATGTGTAGCATGTCTCATAATAAAATAAAAATGACTTTTGATCATTATAGATCGAGTTTTACCAAATTTTGTAAACTGGTTGTTGCTGCAGCCATGCAGTAGTACATCTGTCAATGTGGCCCTGTTTTGATGCATTCAAACTGTTACCGTATTACGAATTTTTCATTTTATGTTTGGCTGTACAAGGTTTGGTGAAATTATTATTTTTTTTTAATTGCTAAGAGGTTTATTTTTCTCAAATGTTGCACTGTGTACACAGTAAGGTTGTGCCAAAGTTAACTTTATTTGTGCTTTCCAGTTGAATGTGAATCAAGGCCACCTATTTTGGCTGCGTAATCACTGTTGCATCCAGCAAGACTGTTTTACCTTAATTTTAGATAAAGAGCCTCGTGCTCTGTGTGCCCCGCCTACTTTTAGAAGCTGACTTTGATTCAATGAAAAGGACAATTCACCAAGTAAATTGAAAGTTATTTTGCCTTTTATTAATTAATGCCATGTGCTACTTGCCATTGCCTTCTTTTCAGGCATTTCAGACCATTTTAAAACATTAATTATTAGCTCTGCAAAGTGCTACAATAAATCTTATTGCGTTCCAGTTCTCTTTTGAAACTGTTACACAAGTAAACGCTATACAAATTATCCTGTTTAATGTTACACTGAATCCTATTGATATTTAAAAAATAAAATAAAATGGTCTGTTACTTTTTACGCCTGTACTGTCGATTATTTGTCTTTCAGTGGATTTGTTTCAGTTCTTTACTTTTCGTCTTTCTACTTGATGTATTACAACACTTGTGGACAGATCTTATAACTTTTTTCTAAATCATTATCTGAGATTTACGAAACGTTTTGCCAATACTTTGGAGCCAGTGGTGGTGATGGTGCTCTTTTTCCACAATATGTACTTTTAAAAGCGGAGAATACACGACAATTGCAGACTTTATTAAAACATCCACTGCTGACAAGATTTTAAATAATTTTCAAATAACCTTTTAAGAGAGTTGTTTTTTCCCCCAGCTAAATAACAATTGTAATTTCATACTGAACTATAAAATAGGGGATGAAACGAAAATAAACTTGCCAGATATCCATTTGGAAAAAGATGAGAGAACTTTTATTGTACATTCCCAGCTAAATTCAACAGACAACAACTTAAGTCAAGTACTTGCATTAGAAGTGTAGTTTTGAGGTTTACTGACTCGTATGCATTCAGATGTCTGATCTATTTCCTGAAAATGTGAGGATATTGGATGTGTAGCATCCTTGCGGATAGTATTTTAGACCATAGATCTTTTAAATACAATATACTGAATTATTGTAAGCATGATATGATATGTAATGTTGTCTCTTTTTAAATACCATGTCTCTAACACAACTCCAGTCAATAAAGTAAAACATTCATCCAGTAATAAAATTATGCATGAAAACAAGCAAACATCTAAATCAGATAAAACATTTTGACCATTTATTTTAAATCACAGTCGCCTGAATGCAGCAGGAAAAATCTTTGGACTTCAGCATGGATTTAACACGTTCACTTGTGGCTCAACGTCAAGTGTCAATCAAATCGCTCCCTCTTTCTTTTAAATAAAGAAGCGTCCTTTTCTTCGCGCGCTATATCTGAAGTTTCAGTAAGTGTACAGCAGTGATACTAATTGAAAAAGTTTTACACCACTGTACACGTAAAGTGTGTGTATATATATATATATATACATAAAATATTGCAGAATCAAATGTCATACATATAATTTTCATCCGTTTAATGCTGGTATTTTGTACACTGGCCCTTGCTAAGAATTATTGCATTTCAGATGTCCTGTCCTTCACGTTAATCGCTGTCTGATTTGTCGTCCTTTGCTGATGTGGCGTGATTGTATAGTCCCTGTGCCATCAGGTGTAATGCAAGTGAGTTTTTGCTCCCCGAAGCTTTTTTAATCTTCGCTCTTTTGTTCTGAAACCAGATTTTGATTTGAGACTCGTTGAGGCCGAGTTCCTGGGCCAGTGCTTGTCTCCTCTGCTCCGTCAGGTAACGGTTATTCTGGAATTCGTTCTTGAGTCTCTGGAGTTGCTCGGCTGTGAAGGCTGTTCTTGGACGCTTGTCTTCCTTGGTTGGATTTTTCTTCTTTGGTTTGCGCGATCTTGGTCCTGCATTTCAGAAAGTAACGAAAGAGATTACATTTGGCTCGTGCCGTAAATGCACATAGCCTATTAATGTTGTATCAGTAGTCTATTTTCAATATAGTTACTTAACAGGCTAATATCACTATTAAAAAAGAATACAACAATAATCAATAATGCTGTTTCGTTAACAGTGTTATTTAGAGTTACTCGGATCAAGGATTGTTTCAGATCAAATGTTGCAGGGAGTCTGCTCTAGTTTTGATTATGGAATCATGGTGTAGTAGTGGTGGTGTGGGTGGGGGTTACTGCCAGAAAGGGAGGGGTGAAAGAGGCTTTCCCCTCTTTCTGTTACCATAGGAACTAGGCTACATTTATAAGAGAACGTTTTTGTAAACTTGCTCTAAGAGTAGCACCTGTCGTTCAATGCTAGTATACTACCCACTGCTTATTCTAGTTTTAGTTAATTCTTAGGTAGCCTAAACAATTGCACCCAAAGGTTCCGCGTGGTCTGAATACTGACAATAGATTGATCGGCAGCCTATGAGATCAGCCCTTGCTCGCACCCTATTTTTACACCTTTTATTTAGCTTAAGCGGAGTATGATTTCGATTGTAGACTGTTGTTATAATACAATATTAATATTTTCACGTTGTGTAATCGAAAAATCAATTTAAGGAACCAATAAACGTACTCGCATCATATATAGGCCTAGGCTACATCTTTTAAGTTAGTGTGACCTTTCCAAATATTCATCTCTGCTATAGCTAACAATGTAGTGTTGCTTTATTGTATAAAAACTTTGGTAAAATTATGTTCACACACTGCATATTAGAAATGGGTTTAAGATGTAGCCGATTCGCAAGATTATTGTAGAATATATTAATCAGAAGTTTGTCGTGACAAAAAAAAAAACTTGTGTTGCCACTTTCTCGGAAGGCCGTTTTGTGCGCAATTTGAACTTCATTTGAAATTAGTTCATTAGAAATGCTGAAATATTGTCTAAAATTGTCCGATTTTTTTCTATCTTATGCCGGTAAGTGCAGGAATAGCATATTTATTTCAGAAGCTAGTTTTGAAGACCTCTGATTTAGCTTCTGTGGTGCGTCCAACTCCATTGTCAAAAATATGCTAATTAAATATCAACAAAGACATCGAAGTAACAATGGCGCAAAACTACTCGTTCCTTTTTAGAAAATAAAGGCAAAAATGTACCATAATTACCATGCCTAAAATTGTAAAAAAAATTGTGCCAGTTCTTCCTTTTCTTCAACAACTTAAGAAATCAGACATAAACCAAGGGCCACATTGCACCGTATACGAAACGTAGTTTTTTGGGGGGGTTTCTACTGATTACATAATAAGCTACTACGCCTGTAAAATAATATATAATAATAATCATAATTCTGATTATTATTATGGTCAAAATAATATTAAAAACAACAATGAAAACGATTAGGCCTATTAATAATTCTACACATGTAGCCTATCATACAGCAGCAGTAGCCTATTTTATATATTTAAAATATTTGTAAATATTAGATTGAAATTAATAATAATAAAATCTTCGTAGTTATTCCTTTTAATGTAAGAGGATAGACTCCATAAAAGAAAACTCCCTGACTCTTGGCGGGCCGTTTCACATTCATGAAGAACATTATTCTTCGTTTTCGTGCCCCCTTTCCATCGACACATTTCTGTAGTTTGGTGATTTATTTGCTCACATTCGAGTCAAAACACAAGCGCGCTTTTACAACAGGTAATATTTGAGTACATAAATTGAACTTTGAAGAGAAAATCAATTCTTACCTGATGAAGGTCTGTCTGAATATCTTGTGCAATATACCCAAGCCGGCCAAAGCATTGGTTGTTTCGTCTGCGCAGCGTTACTTTGCGAGCAATCCGAATCTGAGCTTAAACTTTGATCTCCAGTCTCTGCGCGGGGTTTCAGAGGTGCGTCCGCGGTAATATCAGTTTTTTTAGACGCGCTCACTGGGTGAGGGCTCGAGGTTCCTTCCCCTGACACTGGAGCTCCTACCTGCCCTGATCCGGGAGCCGATGGACAGCGGTTCTCTCTTTCTACTATATTAATTTCGTCGCGCCTGGTTCCTTCTTTCCTGCGACCAAAGTCTGGTCTCAAAATGTTGTCGATGTAAAAGTTGGTGATTCTGTGAGGGAGTAGGTTTCCAGGAGCCTGCAACAGGGGTAGAATAGCTCTATTGGACTCATCGCCCGAATCCTGGCGCTCCACATCTCTGTTGCTACGATCATTTTCTTCCATAGTGAAACTCTCCAAATGTTCTTTTTAACCCTTATCTCTCTCACCCAAACGCGTATGTTTGTGTTCCAGTTTTTGTGGTATATTTTCCTTATTTCTTAGTTTCACTGCGAAGAGAAACAAACAGGAAAAAAAGGACAAATCCTTTTTTCTGATTCTTTTGTCGGTTAAATACGACGAAACCGCCTTGTGTGCGTAAAAAGAAAAAACATAGTTTTAGAAATTAATTCCACAGTGTGCCCTTTGCAATTGTCTTTATATCTACTTTGTAAAATATACAGGCAAATTGAATCTATGCAGTATCAAAGCAGTAGACCTGCTCTAGTAAATAAGGAAACGCAAACTGGCTCTTCTGTTACCATAGGAACTAGGCTACATTTATAAGAGAACGTTTTTGTAAACTTGCTCTAAGAGTAGCACCTGTCGTTCAATGCTAGTATACTACCCACTGCTTATTCTAGTTTTAGTTAATTCTTAGGTAGCCTAAACAATTGCACCCAAAGGTTCCGCGTGGTCTGAATACTGACAATAGATTGATCGGCAGCCTATGAGATCAGCCCTTGCTCGCACCCTATTTTTACACCTTTTATTTAGCTTAAGCGGAGTATGATTTCGATTGTAGACTGTTGTTATAATACAATATTAATATTTTCACGTTGTGTAATCGAAAAATCAATTTAAGGAACCAATAAACGTACTCGCATCATATATAGGCCTAGGCTACATCTTTTAAGTTAGTGTGACCTTTCCAAATATTCATCTCTGCTATAGCTAACAATGTAGTGTTGCTTTATTGTATAAAAACTTTGGTAAAATTATGTTCACACACTGCATATTAGAAATGGGTTTAAGATGTAGCCGATTCGCAAGATTATTGTAGAATATATTAATCAGAAGTTTGTCGTGACAAAAAAAAAAACTTGTGTTGCCACTTTCTCGGAAGGCCGTTTTGTGCGCAATTTGAACTTCATTTGAAATTAGTTCATTAGAAATGCTGAAATATTGTCTAAAATTGTCCGATTTTTTTCTATCTTATGCCGGTAAGTGCAGGAATAGCATATTTATTTCAGAAGCTAGTTTTGAAGACCTCTGATTTAGCTTCTGTGGTGCGTCCAACTCCATTGTCAAAAATATGCTAATTAAATATCAACAAAGACATCGAAGTAACAATGGCGCAAAACTACTCGTTCCTTTTTAGAAAATAAAGGCAAAAATGTACCATAATTACCATGCCTAAAATTGTAAAAAAAATTGTGCCAGTTCTTCCTTTTCTTCAACAACTTAAGAAATCAGACATAAACCAAGGGCCACATTGCACCGTATACGAAACGTAGTTTTTTGGGGGGGTTTCTACTGATTACATAATAAGCTACTACGCCTGTAAAATAATATATAATAATAATCATAATTCTGATTATTATTATGGTCAAAATAATATTAAAAACAACAATGAAAACGATTAGGCCTATTAATAATTCTACACATGTAGCCTATCATACAGCAGCAGTAGCCTATTTTATATATTTAAAATATTTGTAAATATTAGATTGAAATTAATAATAATAAAATCTTCGTAGTTATTCCTTTTAATGTAAGAGGATAGACTCCATAAAAGAAAACTCCCTGACTCTTGGCGGGCCGTTTCACATTCATGAAGAACATTATTCTTCGTTTTCGTGCCCCCTTTCCATCGACACATTTCTGTAGTTTGGTGATTTATTTGCTCACATTCGAGTCAAAACACAAGCGCGCTTTTACAACAGGTAATATTTGAGTACATAAATTGAACTTTGAAGAGAAAATCAATTCTTACCTGATGAAGGTCTGTCTGAATATCTTGTGCAATATACCCAAGCCGGCCAAAGCATTGGTTGTTTCGTCTGCGCAGCGTTACTTTGCGAGCAATCCGAATCTGAGCTTAAACTTTGATCTCCAGTCTCTGCGCGGGGTTTCAGAGGTGCGTCCGCGGTAATATCAGTTTTTTTAGACGCGCTCACTGGGTGAGGGCTCGAGGTTCCTTCCCCTGACACTGGAGCTCCTACCTGCCCTGATCCGGGAGCCGATGGACAGCGGTTCTCTCTTTCTACTATATTAATTTCGTCGCGCCTGGTTCCTTCTTTCCTGCGACCAAAGTCTGGTCTCAAAATGTTGTCGATGTAAAAGTTGGTGATTCTGTGAGGGAGTAGGTTTCCAGGAGCCTGCAACAGGGGTAGAATAGCCCTATTGGACTCATCGCCCGAATCCTGGCGCTCCACATCTCTGTTGCTACGATCATTTTCTTCCATAGTGAAACTCTCCAAATGTTCTTTTTAACCCCTTTCTCTCTCGCACACACACGTATGTTTGTGTTCCAGTTTTTGTGGTATATTTTCCTTATTTCTTAGTTTCACTGCGAAGAGAAACAAACAGGAAAAAGGACAAATCCTTTTTTCTGATTCTTTTGTCGGTTAAATACGACGAAACCGCCTTGTGTGCGTAAAAAGAAAAAACATAGTTTTAGAAATTAATTCCACAGTGTGCCCCTTGCAATTGTCTTTATATCTACTTTGTAAAACATACAGGCAAATTGAATCTGTGCAGTATCAAAGCAGTAGACCTGCTCTAGTAAATAAGGAAACGCAAACTGGCTCTAGAATACTTTCACTACGGATTTTTGTTCTTATTTTTAATACGAGTCCCCCGGGTGACGTCGCAGTCCGGTATCCTAGACACGTGCCTTTGACCAATAAATGGAGTGAAATTTGATCACATGACCCAGTGACTCTCGAGTAAATGACAGCACCCAACCTCGCCTTATTCTCAATACTTAAAGCGATAGTACTCTATTAGCTTAAGTGTTCAGCATCCCAATATTTTGCCTTTTCAAATCACTAACTAATGAAAAGATCAACAAATGATTTGACAAACACATTTGGTTATCTGTCTGTATGTGGAACCGCTGTCTTTTTGAGTAGGCTCGTAAAATTAAATCGTTTATAAATCGCACTGGGGGAGGGGTGTGTTCATGTTTACACGTAATTCGGTGGTAGGTCACACACGGTCCAATTTCGTAATTTCCTAGTCTTCTTATTCCACAGTAAGCATTGCTGTGCTATTTTTACGGTAAAGTCAAAAATGTAAGTCTACACAAGTGTATTTAGGCCTGCGTACGATAATGAACTAACTAATTACGCACGGCAACTCTCTATGGAGCATCACTCAAAACAACTGTTTTCATTTCCCACCCGTTTCCATGTCAGTTTTTAATGTTTTACATGCATTATGTTCCTCTTTATAGGCCTAAATATAGGCTAAAACAAACCGCCATCATTTGGAAATGTTAGTAGTATAGCCTAGGCTACGCGGTGTCCCTGTTGGTCTGGCATAATTGTGTTGGGATGTGAATAGGGTATTTGTATCCAAAAATATTTCGTTAAATCAATCGCTTTGTTGTAGGCTATCGTTATAACGGTTCGCAAAGACGTCTCGTGAGTCGCCGAAACGCAATTCACTCCAGTAGTTTTAAATAGGAGTTGATGACGTGGCTGGGGCGCTTTAAAAGAAACCAGCGAAGCAAACCAACAGTGATCTTTGGAGCGTAGGCTACATGGCGTCCTGGAGCGTCAAAATGAAACAAACGACCACTTTAGAAGTGAGCTTATTGGAAAGTTTCAGTACAGGTTTTTGGCCTTGGTGCAAATTAGATTAAATGGGCTAAAAGGGGACGCATGGCCCATGGAATTTGGCTACAGAGTATTAGCAGAGCTAACGTAACTCACTCTCGTGCTCACTTTTTCTTCCCTGGAAAATCGTGGAATAATAAAGTCAACTTTTCGTTTTCGTTTTCGACTTTACTGAGGGATCTTCGGCTTTATTTAATGACCGTAAGTTTAGATAAATCTATGTCTGCATATCCAAAGTCGTTATTTAAAATAGACAGACACATGCCAGTTACAGGACACAACCATTATTGTGGTAACAGACACATTTATGAAAATCTAGCTATGCAGTAGGCCTACGCAGTTTTTGAATGGAATATTGACTTGTTTAGAATCGTTGGACTTGTTACTGGCGGCACGTCAGAATGTTCAGTGTAGCATCTACAAGTCATTATGTGAGGTCAGCATGGGCCACAAAAGAGCAGGGGTTTGGATACAACTTTTTATCAAAGTGCAAATCTTTCATTTCTGGGTACTTGTGTGTACCTGTGATCATTGTACCTACTATTTATAATTGCGCTCGTAATGCTTGGACACTTCTATGGCTATAAAAGGCTCTTCAATTAGCCTATTGTATTCTCAAGTATTTGATATCGATTATAATTAACTTTTTAATCATATTTTAACTATTGCAGAGACGTGTTAGGGCGCTAGCAAAGTATGTCTTTGCTTTAAATGAAGGGCTCTTTCATAGGCTATATTTTTGGTTTGTTTAAATTAGGCGACCTATCTCGCCATAGATATGTCTTCTCTTTAAATGAAGGGCTCTTTCATAGGCTATATTTTTGGTTTGTTTAAATTAGGCGACCTATCTCGCCATAGATTCTGTAGGCTACACAAAGAGTCTATTAAGCTATATTCTACCTATAAAGGCATGTTTGGGGAAAAAAATATTTTGGTGATAATAACATTATGTGCAGGAGTGTTATCAGTGACAGCTTATTGCACGCCTACGCTCTCTCCAATTTCTGAATATAGGCTACAAGCCAGTGCAATGCCACTTTTAATTCTTGTTTCAAAATATTTTCAAATGTTGACATAAAAACATTTAAGAGGGAACAGTTTCTTCCGTATTAAGTTTTTTTTTCTTCAGTTTACTGTTTTGTAAATGTGAGTTTAACATGATGTTTTGAACATGACATTAAAGCTATGTTTGATTTGTAACGACAGTGCAAAGCTGGGAAAAAAATAAACATTTAAGTTTTCCTTACAAAGTAAAAGTCTTAATTATAAAGTAATGGTAAAGTAAAAATGTAAGTCTAAAATGTTTCTAAAAGACCGTGTGCCCATATGTGACATTTTTCA